GGCTCCGGCGGGCGGGGCGGCCGCCGTTGCTGAGGGGGGGCGGAAGGGCCGCTCCCACTTCAAAAATAAATCAATCCTCCACCCTCTGCCCCGCCCCTAAACGCTGCCTCGGGGAGCACAGTTGGCCGCCCCCGAGCTCAACCCCCGAGCCTCAAAAGAGCCCATCTACCCGCGAAGCGTACTGACCTGCCCTTCGCCTCAGCTCCTCAGGGAGGCAAGAAATCGAGGTAGCGAAGTCGAGGTTACTTAGTGCAGTAACCAGCTCCGTTCTCATCAGTACACCACTACCCTCGAGGCACTCTCCTGCCCTACTTCGCAGCAAGTTACGGAGGAATCGGAAAGAAGCACAGCAGACAGCTGCTATAAGTTTTATTTACACTGGAACTGTTACTAGTGGTCTTAAAGGAAGGTTTGATCCTTCTATTTACAGTTATATACAGATTTATAGTTGAAAAGTAAGAAAACTGTACAAGATAACACAAAAATATAAGACAAATTGGATCCAATTGAAGTAGTGAATACATAAGTTAAGAAAAATCTGACATTTACATTTCAAATTGTAATGTTATGAGGAGCGTATATGTAGTTTTTTAACCAGATAGCAACGTAAGTTACACCACACTAAATCTTTACCCCAATTATGTAGCTTTTAAACACCAGACAAGTGGAAGATTCCTGCATTTAAAAACACATAATGGTAATTTTGACTTGATTTCCACAGAGGGACCAGTTACAAAACCCCACATGTAAGGAATTTATTTACATTAAATATTAGCAAAAATGGACCAAGAGAGCGCAAGTGTTCCTCACCTGCAGTGCTATCCATTTTAAATTTCCATCCTCTACAATCACAAGTTGTTGTACAACATCTTTGAGAACAGGAAATGTTTGAAAATAGCTGCTGTGACACATAAAATATGACCTTATATCTCACAGTTAAAAGATGTTAAAGAATTAAGTATCACTAAACCAGATGCTTTTTGGATTTCAGTATTGCACGCTAATAAAAGATAGTTTCAAAACCAATTCTGTGTCTGCATTATTCCTAAGTGTTAAAAGTGGCTGCTCCTTTGACAACACAAAGTCTGCAGATAACTTTGTCAGTTTCTAGTGTTCACCATTGCATACAAGTATTTGTCAGCTGGAAATGGCTCAACAAAATAAAACTTGTGGTGGCAAAACCCTTTCACAGAATACCCACTCCATTTTTAATAAGCTACACAACCAATACACCAAAACAAATGCTTAACACCACTCGCTTTGAAAGCTGTACATTCTGAAAATAGCAGCCCTGATCTTACTGCTGTTTTAAAATTCAGATGATTTTTGCTCTAACAGGTTTGGGCACAATATTTCCACAGTTCCTGAGTTAATTACATTTGCCCAGACTGAAGAATGAAGCTGCAACTTAAAAAAAAAGAAAAAAGAAAAAGAACAAAAAACACGAGTAAATAAGACAATACCCCTTCTCAAATTTTAACCATCTTGCACATAAACATACCCAACAACCTTATTTGGTCCTCAACACTTTCAAATGGTTAATTTTGGAGGTAATATTTGTACCAAAGCATTTGGTTTGGATAGCAGTTTTGGGGCCTTAAGATTTAGCATTTCCCTCATCCCCCCCCAAAAAGTGCCTTTGTGGTATTTGTAAAAAAAGTTATGCCTCAAAATTTTTTTTAAAGTACCAACAGAAGTTATTACAAATGCTTATTGCATTGAGCTGATTCTTTTAAAGTATTAAATATTAACTCCCCCGCTTCTCAGTTTCATAGGTTTTAGTATTCTGTGTGAAAACAAATCTTCCCACAACAAAAGCTAATACTGGCAAAAGGGTGAAGATTTCATCAGTTCATTACTCCACTGAGAGCTGTGTCATTTTCCCATCTCATTTTCACATATTCTATAGCGCTTTTCCACATAGAAGTGATGTGAAAACTCCTTTGTCATCAAGTGGTTTTCCACATTTTCAACTGACCTCAACATTACAACGATTAGCTTTTCAGTGCTGGGCTATGGTTCTTGTCCCCTTCTTTGTTGTCCTTCATCAGTGAGGCAAACACCTGGAAAATTATTTAATGAATATTAACAAAAGCCAGTCTTTTAAAAAAGATCAATATTAACCCCCACAATATTAGCATGGAGATTAATTTCTAGAATGAGACCCTAGAAAGGAAGTGCCCATTGCTCAGAAAGCAGACATGCAACATAAAGTAGTCATTAAGTGCCCCATATACTCAAGTGCTGACATGTCTGTTTTGACATGTATATCCCAGAAACTCACCTGTGCCCATTTTTTGTTACTATTCTGCATCTGAATAGCTGCAATACAACTAAAAAGCTTTTCTGATGTAATGTCTTCTGGAAGTTTTGTTAGAAACTGTGCTATATGAATAAAGTCCATCTGCAGGAGAATATCTTCATATAACCGAAGGATTCCTAATCCTGTCCTAAACAAAAATTCTTCTCCATCTCTACAGAAAACATCCCAGACACGACAGGCCAGATCAAGTGGTAATGACTTGCTGTAGAGTGTAAAAATCCTACAATTGAGAAAAAAAGCCACAATTATAACTTTCATCTATTTCAGAAAGAGGAAAATACAACCTCCTTTAAATCTCAGTTACATTAGCTGAGAGCGAGCAGGTGACAAGTTATCTCATATGTTCTTATTTTTTCCATATTTCAAAGATCCCCAAGTCTCCAGTTTTTTATGTCAGAACTCCTACACTGAAAAGCATCTCTTTTTATGCTACAGGAAATCCTCTGTTTGAAAGCCACCTCCTTTAGGAAGCTCTGGCTAGAGAAGTTACAAACATCTTTACACTCAAACAGGGTATAATATACTACTAAGAATTTTAGCAACAAAGATCATAACTGTGTAACTTAACACTTCCCATTATTTAATCCATACAGTTTAATAGCTCTGTTCATTGTTTGTTTTCTAAACTGAATCTAAAGCCACAAATAATCTCAATAGAAGGCTACATCCCACTAATTTACTAATGAGAATTCAATAACTACATTTTTGTGATACATTCTGAATTTCTAGTCATGTTAAAAATTGCCAAAATCTGAAGATAGTCACTCTTCTATTCTTACTGGGAAGAGTCCAATTGCATGTCTTTTTGCAAAGTTTATTTTTAAAAAACATTCATTATACACAGGCAGAGAGTTCAGTCTGCTGTTATGTACCATATTGTAGAACCTCTTCCATAAAATTGTAGTGGTTCCTTTGATACAAAGCACAGTGTTCTCTGTTTCCCCATTATTCCTATGGGGAAGTGGTTCAGGAACCTCAGAACACTCCTTGCCACACACTACCATAACCTCTTCTACTGTCTCTTTATAAAAGGAGCTCACTCTCTCTCAAGGCCATCTTTGGAACATGTGCAGGAATAACAATCTTCATTTCTCACAGGTAACTGGAAGCAGAATATTCTAGTACTTTGTACAGCAGCACTATTTCGGCAACATATATATATACCTCTTGATCTGCCTAAACTCTCAGGACTGCAGCACACTCTTGACTCAATGCTGCTACTGTATAACCTGCGCCTGCTGAGACTTACTGATAAGCTATGTTAACTGATAAGCTGCACGTTATAGCCAAAGTTCAGATGATGTGACATTTTTCTATTACTTAATTCTACCCAATTCAATTTACTCTATTATAAAGTTCTAACCCCTATAATAATCCTGTATAAAGCACATCCTTATCCACACACACTTATAAATAGACATTCCGTATTTGGCAGCACTACACACACCTCGAGGATGCTTGCATTACTGCCTTCCATTACAGGCACATAATGTAGTTTGGTACTCTCTGCTTTAGAACATTCATTACTTCAAAATGTTCACTGTATTTTCAAGTTTATCCCTTCCCAAACCAGGTCCTAAATTTCACCCTCCTTCTGCTTTAAAGTCTATATTCCTATAGTCATACTTTCTTCAGTCACTGATTATGCTCATTTCATCAAGTCACTTACAATCAGTCATAAGACAAGTATGGTGTAGTAGCCTCCTCTCCCCTACTTATGTTACACACAGCTGACTCTTACCTGCAGCAACTAGAAAGTGAGACACATAGGAGTCCTGTGTGTCTCGTTTTCTGTCTGAATAGATGTCACTCCTAATCCCAGTTCATAAAGTTTGAATCCTGCCAGAGGAACTGTGGTTGCACAAAACAGTTCACCACAATTTCACAATACCTAGAAAGCCGAGGTACACAAACACCTACTAAATGCTTTTTTTTATGCTGTATTTCTATGGCTGAAAAACCTATAGCAAAATGAAAAGTGTTACAACAGTTCTGAGGTTAGGTTTGCTATGTTCTCTGAACTCACCAGTCTATCAAATATATGTCTGGAGTAAGACTGTATGATTTGAAATGAAGAAACAATTTGGGAAGATTTTCTTCAAAGAATACTTCAAAGGCTGCAAAGTATTTCAGCATCTGTAGAGATAGTAAAGCACCTCATAAGCAGTCACCAAAAGAAAGTTTAGTTGTAGAATAACACAAACCCCACCAAGAATTGAGGATGTCAACATAGCATGATGTGACTTCTTAGGATAAGTACAACGACGAAGTGTTTCGAGAGGAAAAATCAAAACTGTAGAATGTGTTCTATAGATTAGTATCTGATATTCTCAATTTTGTAACCACAGGTTAGAGTTCTCCATTATTCAATAGGACAAAAAGAAGTCATCAATAAATCAAATGCTTCAAGTCAAAAGAATGTTATGGTTCAAAACCAGAAAACTCTGTGCGTACCATGCTGTGATCCACACGGAAAAAGGCCAGCTGGCATGGCTTGTTTAGAAGGTTAGCAAAGGCAATGAAAGCATCTGCCTCTTCCAGATTGAGAATGAGCACAGCAGCAATGAAGGACATCCCTTGTACCTTCAAGTGGGAAAAGCATCGGGCAAATATAGGTGAGTAGGTTCAGTACATCTTATCTTTGGAAATGCAAATATTTACAGTCTGCAACATACCAAATACCATTGCGTAACATTTCCAGATGAACAGAAACAACACTGACAAATAATTTTTATGCATGCAGTCAATTTGATTTCAGCAAGAAATAGAGAGTTTCTTCAGATGCCGGTTTTAGGTGCTTGATGGAAGTTCTGGGAGGTCTCATGATCACAAGTCCTCGGGACTTGGAATGCAAGAAAGTTAAAACCACACAGGCTGGACGTAGAGCTCAAAAGAGACAAAACTTGGCCTTAAGCTCATTGTTAAGCTATGGAAAAAGCAGACATGAAGAAAAACCTCACATATGGGACAGTTTAGACCCAGACAGATATGTTGGAATTGAGACAAAATTCTGTTTCAGAACAGTCAATACATATCTTACCACTTGCCAAACAGTATTTGTTCACATACGTAAAATTACTTTTAAGTGGTTAGCTACAATGCAAGTTTATATTTTTCCATGATACTCTCTCAAAAACACTTTAGCCTGCAATAAAAGTGAAGAGCATTATTCTTGTAGTTGTTAACTGATGATCTGAATACTCATTATACTAAAAATAATTTTACCAATTTCAACTGCAATGATGATTACTTGGCTGTTTCTAGGCATTTATGCTCCCTGTTCCTCATTTTAAAAAAGTGCACTCAGTATTTTAACCAACTAGGGAGAAGAGTATGGATATGCATCAGAAACAGTCCAGCAGCTTTCCATTTCTGTGGGATAGATGGGTGTGGAAATAAGACTACATTAAATTTACTGCCATATTAACATTAAAATAAAATTTAAAAAAATCTGTGATCAGAAATATCCAGGCTAGCTGTGCTGCTAAATGAAAAAAACAGAAAACCTATCCATGAAAAATTACTTATTTGCCTTTTAAAACTCCACCCTGGGAACAAGCAGTCTCAGAACCTGCAGAGTTTGTAATCTCACTTAAAGAGTATGGGAGAGTGTCCAAAAATGAGGTCACAGATGACAGAATTCAGGGCTAAGAACATTTGAACATGAAAAACCCAACTAGATATCGTTGCAATCCCAAGCATATCTGATTTAAAGAGGAAAACACACCCTGTGCTAAATAATGCTTTGGTGCATGGATCAGACTCAAAACTCTTCAAGTTCTTTTTAGCCCAGAAGCAATTAGAGCTCGTGAAAGGTGTTCCTAGCTACCCCCAGGAACAAAGAAAAAGAAGGAAAAAAAAAAGCATCTGTTTGTTATTCAACTGCTTCTGTAAGCCAGCACCATTCAGAGAGATATTAGGGTTAGTTGGTTGGTTTGTGTCTTTTTGGCAGTTTTTTATGGTTTCTGTTTTGCTTTAAACAGAGTAATGTTTGCTGCAAACAATCTTATCTTCACTGAACTCTGAAGGAGCGATTAATCTTTGACAACAAGAACCAATGAGTTTCTGGATTTTAGGATGTGCAGTAATGAAGCTGAGAGTATCACTATGGAAATGGCAGCAGTGGGAGCAACACTAGGACAGAGCAGGCTAAATCCTCACTGGAAGTCTGGTAGCTTTTTTTTTTTTGGTAGATATTCTGGGACTGTCATAACTGTAATGCCTTGTGAACACATCTGTTTAAAAATTTCCTTGCAAGCCAGATAGTATACTCATCCTTGACATTCAGTACATTTTCAGCTATTTAATTATCTCTAAGAATTACCATCATTGTAACTGCTATGAAATGATTAAGTGCCAAATTCAAATTACTTTTTTTTTTTAAGTGCTAGTAGCATAAGGTTTAGATAAGCTACTTATTAAATACTCTTTAATACATGACATCTTAAGCTTATTTGCCATGTTATAAACATTTTACAGCAAATACTTACATATCCCACATCCGGTCTGTAACATGTGTATGCTCCTAAAACACTATGCAGGAGATCATGATAAGGACCACCCTAATACAAGGTGAGAGAGGAGGGGGAAAAGAAAACAAAAGGTTTTTTCAGATCACTTTATAAATACACGAAGGTAACAAGCCAGTATTTTAAGATGCAAGCACACCAGTGAATTATTGCTTTATTCACATCTAAAATAATACCAGTTCTTACTCTAAGCATTACCATGTATGCTTTTAAGATGTTAAAGGAAAAGTAAACAGACCAATAATCCTATGAAATAATTAAGTGGAAATCAGTACATAATGGAAAATGAGGATATCGGGTACACATCCAGGGTTGGTTTTTCCCTTTTCAGAGACAGTGAATGTTTTAATTCTTAGTAACACAAGTTACTGTATTACAATAGTGCATGCTATTTTATATACATGTGTGTGCATACATTATATCTATATAAAAATCATAAAGCCTGAAAATGTGTACTAAAACACATCAAGATTTCTGTAGAAGCAGTGAGAATAATCTCATTTTTGTATGTAATTTCATAAACATTAATAGGAACCACATGCAATTATAGTCCATCATTAAGTGTCCCTACTTCATTCTCACAAAAAATAAAATAAAATAAAAGAGATGACCATTTGCTGTTCTATGTAGAAAAGAACTAGTTTTGTTATTTTATACAAACAACTTCTAGAAACCATTCCATATTTAGCCAGCTAAGTTTCTTTTCTTGTTTAACCATTCAAAAGTTTAAAATTGTCATAACTAAAAGTTACAGAAATCTCACCTTCTGGAAAATATACAGAGATGGAAATGTGCGTGATATATCCAACTTAATTAGCTCCAGACTGGCCTCACGATCAGCAACAGATGCACCTGCATCTGCAAGCAAAACCAACACTTATTAAAACTGATAAATTCTACAGACTTCAGAATAAAACTGCCATAGCCACATAGAGACTTTTAGGATTTAAGGAAAAAAAGTTATGTAGTTCTAATTCTTGGAGTGTGCTTCTACAGTGCTATACTTCAAGAGCTAAAACTGTCCACAGGTACCTACCACCCAGTGGGATGGGGCGGGGGGAGGGGGGAAATCGGGAGAAGTAAAACTCGTGGGTTGAGATAATAACAGTTTAATAGGACAGAAAAGAAGCAGCTAATAATGATAACACTAATAAAATGACAGCAGTAATAATAAAAGGATTGGAATGTACAAATGATGCGCAGTGCAATTGCTCACCACCCGCCGATCGATGTCCAGTTAATCCCAAAGTCCCCACTCCCCCCAGTTTCTATACTGGATGTGACGTCCCATGGTATGGAATACACCGTTGGCCACTTTGGGTCAGCTGCCCTGGCTCTGTCCCCTCCCAACTTCTTGTGCCCCTCCAGCTTTCTCACTGGCTGCACACGAGAAGCTGAAAAATCCTTGACTTTAGTCTAAACACTACTGAGCAACAACTGAAAACATCAGTGTTATCAACATTCTTCGCATACTGAACTCAAAACATAGCACTGTACCAGCTAGTAGGAAGACAAATAACTCTATCCCAGCTGAAACCAGGGCACTGGTCTATGCCAGCAACTCCAAAAAGTGAGGGAAACTATCAGTAATTACTACCTGTCTACTCATTCTTTTTCAAGTCATACACCTTTACAACATTCAGACTTAAAACCAACAGGTTACCTTTCACTTCTGTATAATACTCTATCCAGGCCCAGGCCCTGCATTCACTAGAATTTGAACTTTGCGCAGCCCAGTCCTCAGAATCCTGTTTGGTTTTTTTCTTATATTCTACTGTGACTTCAGTTACTGAATCTGTTTTGAGAGCACAGAATGAGAGTACTGCTCTTGATTTAAACGTGATCCAGCGAGATCTCACTTTTCAAATTTTTCATTCCTTATCAGCTCATTTGGTGGCTCATTTCAACCAGCAGCATTAAAATATACTATGTACAGTAGAGGGGAAAAAAAAAGATTAATTACATCATTATCACTTCCCTGAAGTTTCCACAATTGACCACACAGTTATGATCTGCAGAAGTTACATTACACCTGAGCTCTCGTTAGCTCTCATTTGACTTTTTTTTTTTTTTTTTTGCATCCTTAGGACTGGCATTCTTCAAAAAGCAGGAAAGGCACCATTCACTCAAGAACCTCTAGAAGAAATTAGCTGGCCCTTGAGTGATCTGTGTCCTATCCTCTACACAGGGACATGATGCAAATACTAGCAACAGCGAGGAGAAAGATACATGTGGCACTTGGGGAAAAGGCTCTTTCAGAGGGCTTTAACCAACCAAGAGCCCTCTGGGAAGTAGAAGATCACAGAATTTGATGAACAGGGTAAACAGAACCTGCTCTGCTGAAGCCTGGAAAGCAGCATTTCCTTCCAGTCCTACAACCATGATAGTTGCATTCAGGAGTGAGTGGGACTGCTGCAGGCTGTGTTAGGTGGTATTTGGGAGAAAGAAGGCAATTATTATTACAGAGAAAGAACATACACAATCTAAAATAAAAAGTTCAAGAACTGCTGCTTAATCCTTCCTTTCTCTTTCAAAAGACACAGGCGTTCTATGGCATCATTTGGGATCATTTCATTTCAGACAGTATCCACTTAGAGTGATTCCCAAGGAAGATGAGAATCTATGATGTAGAGCACAAGAAACTCTGGATTTATACAAGAAATTCAGTCCTGTGAACTCCAAAAGAGGAGTGGCTGGCAGCATATTGAACAGATCTGACAGATAACATCTTTTGATGAATGTCTTGTCTTCAAGACACAAGAAGATACTTTTCATGCTTTAATCTTTATCTGCCAAAATAAAGTGTTAAAGATATTTGAACAGGAAAAACCCTCACAACTACTTAAATACGTTAAATGAGGCTAAAATAATTGATCTTCCAGACTTTGTTACCAAAAATTAGTAATAAACACAGGGGGTTGGCTTGCTTTTCGACCAGAGACGAAAATCCTATTACTCTAAGTTTTCTCTTATTACTACATTTCCCAGAACATGACACAATCAAAACAGACCCTTCCCCCTTTCATCCCCATCCAGAACTACTATCTTTCCAAAATAAACGAGTTACCTAAGCTTTCCCCCATGCTCAGCCCACACCCCCACAACAGAAGAACAAACAAACCACCACCCTACAAACCAAGGGGCATTGCAAGTGACTGTAAATATGCTTTTCCTTGGAAAAAGGAAAAGTACACACAGAATTTTTTACAAACAGTTTGTCTCAAGACAAGCTTCAGATGAGTCACAGAGGTAGCCTAAGGAAGACCCAAATAATTTCCAGTCAAAGTAGCCAGTTAGTCAGGACTGGTTATAGCAAGTGCAAACAAAAAAATCACTTGCATTACAATGCCATTTTCTTTGCCCAAAAAGAGACCAACTCAAAAATAAATAGTTATTTCACAGCAGCTGGTATTGACAGGATATACCCACTATTAAAAACATCATCGATGCTATTTTTAACAGAAAGAATACCCACAGGAGACAGCAACATGCCAGTGATAAAACTCTATTATACATCCAAGTGTGCTAACATCCTCACTTATAGATTTGGGAGGAAAGGGCACCTGGGCAGCCAAGGAAACCCAAGTGGGACCTGAAATGTGTAATGTTACACATTCTTCACCTCTTAGTTCCACAATCAAAAAATAGAGAATAATTTTTTTCTTTCCCAAAAGCGTGGAAGGGATACCAACGTAAGAACCATCTAAGCAGAGCTAAGCAATAGCATATACTGTAATTTAGTTTCCCCATTTCTTCTTTTCATATTTCATGTAAAATTTTCATGAGAGCTTACTCCTGGTATTTCAGGAATTCAAAAGGAAAATACATTCATTTGAAAGTGAACTAGCACATGCAATATTTCAATGCATCTTTTATTGATATAGTAAATACCGTTAAGCCTCTCGCTCACCAACTTGTTATAAGAAAGCAAACATTTAAGTAGGGAATGACTTGGAGCACTTTCAACAAGTATTCATAATACTGCAATTGCAGCTGAACTTGTGAGACTTCCTGGGTTTGTAAAAGTGAATAGGAGGCTGTCTAGCTTTCAGGAGATCTCACCTTCTATGTCATTCTCAGAACTTGTCTCACTGAAGCTTTTCCATCGTTCCTTAGCTCTCGACAAAAAGATTTCATAAAGTTCTGCAGGAAAGAAAAACAAAACCAACAACAAAAAAGGAAGAAATAAGTAAGAAAAGCACCCATCAAAAACAAAAGCACATTAAGTATTCTTGGCTTTGGTTTTGTTGCTTGGTTTCATCTTAGCCACTGGGGGCAGGGGGAGAAGCAATTAGATGGTTACCACTAACCACTGGAGTACTACTGTGCACAGTTTTATAGTGTGCACTGTATTATGCTGTCTTCTGTGGTGAACATGCAAATTACAAGAGGGAAATCATGTCTTAAATAATTCAGATTTTTATTTTTGTGAATAGGTTATAACATTTCCAGTTCATCAAAATCATTAGTTGTGAAATAAAGCAATCCCCCTTTCCACCCCCTTAAGAAAGCAAAGCTACAAATTCTCAATTTTAAACATAAAAATTGTTTTTTTGGGGGAAGTGCCACCTTAACTCTTATAAGACTAAAATGTTTTTGTAAGGAGGTTTTGAACCTTGTTTCCATAATTTACCAGGCTATGTCATCTAATTGTAAAAAACAGCTGTTCCTAAGGTTGCAAAATACAGTTCTTCAAAAAATAAATATACCCTGATTTATATCTTTTAAAAAAAAATTTAAATTTTTCTTTGAAAATAACCAACTTAATTTTGCATTAAAATGTGATCTGTTAAGGCATACCAGGAGTGATATTTAATTCGTTTCCCACAGCTAGACTCCAAACCTTCCCACGTACACTTGGCGGTAATCCCTGCCACCACAGCTCTCGAACTCTTCGGGTAGCACGCCTAAGATAGGAAAGCAGGGGAGGGGAAAAAATAAAAAAAAGCATATTGCACATCTTGTTTTCTACAATCATTGGGCAACTTACAAGCAAAATAACATACTACTTCCCAAATCAATATTCAAGGATCTCTGCTTATGCTAAAGCTCCATTAAAAAAACCCAAACCATTAAGCTCCCAGAAAGCACAGAGCATTTCATGTTGCTCTGTAATGACCTCTCACTGTATCATTGCAACAAAACTGACTTCTTGACAAAACAGAAAGGAAAATAAGGTATGTGGGTCCCCTGTTTCCAGAGGAGAAACAAGCCAGCAGCCTTGCCTCATTTACACGACAGAACTTTACTTACATGCCTTCCCAGTTAGGTAGTATTTCATTGACCCAAATCACCATAGCACTGGCAATACTCTCTTCTTGCTTGAAACGCTCTCTCATTATTTTTTTCCTTTTATGTGCTTCTTTAATTTCTGTTAGGCATAACACGTTAATATTTCTGTATTAGCGTATATAAATTATTAGGTAAATAATTCCGCTATCATTTAATTATTCAGATGTCTGAAAGAGATCAAGGGTAAATTACAGTTGCGCGTGAGCTAGCTGGTATTACTTCTGTTGATTGTAGGTGTATTTATCAGGAATTTTTTTAATTTATGCTAAGTTATTCAAATACACAGCAATTTAGACAAGCAAAAATCTGGCTAGAAAACTCATAGCACTCTTTCTGCAGCACACAGAATGACAAAAAGCGAGTACATCATCAGTGCTGTTTTTCCTGTAATGAATTTCATACCACGTTCTACCTAAACCTTACTTACTACTTAGACTAATCAGCAATAACTATAGATAAAACTATTATTCAAAAGTGCAATTCTACATCCATTTTAAAATTATTCAAATTGTACTGAAACTGCCACCTAGAAGGATTATGTATCTTCTTTTCTGGAAGAGGACCTAAAGATCTGAGACAAAGCTACAATGCTGAACAAGAGAAGAGTATTCTGCCTTCTGTTAAAAAAGGATCATTTGTGGATCCCTCTTACTAAAAAGGCTAAAAGAAGCACAGAGCAGTGCTATTTTGACATCACTAAGCACCACTGTGAAATTGCAGGACATTTTGTATTTATGCATGCATTAGATACATCAATGGAGTAAACATGCCATCCCTGGTAAACCGATACGGCTGATCAGCTTCATTAAGTTTTTACCGAAGCTTTGTGTGTGTAGCAATAGTTAATTTAATGAATACTAGGGCACACGTACCAAAACACTACACATGCATGACTCTCCAAAGATGCAGTCAGAGAACATGGACCACAGATCACACCTTACAAGATGCACACCGCAAGAGGAGAGAGAAATGAGTGGTCAGATGCCTTGGATTTCTTATTACATCTTTCAGAGTAAGCTGCCACAGATCCATAGAGGCTCAACCAGTTCAGAAGCTTGTATCGCTTGACAACAGCCCAAGGAAAACATGCAGCACAGACTCTTAAAATAGCTTATTCCCTGAATACTAGGCATGAGACTACAGAAGTCCTTTCAACAACTAATCATTGATTGACACAGTACCAGATGCTACAGATATGTTTAATTTAAAAAAACAGATCTAGTGGGAGTAGGAAAGTTCACACAGGTACAGCTGGTTAGAAAAAAAAAAACCACCAAAGTTTTCATCTGTCTTCATATTGAAATTGATCTCAAATTCCTGAAAAAAAAGATCTTTAAGCAGTCAGCTTTATTATACTTTGGCTCTCAGTGGCAACTGCAGCAACACAGCTTGAAAAAAAGAGTCCAAGTACCCAGAAAGTTTCTAGCTGATCACATTACACAAGTAATCATCCAGTTTCTACTTAGAAGTTAAAGAAAACATTAAACTGAATTCTGAACCTAGTTGCATTCACTATGGTGGAGTAAGAAAACAATTTGATCATTGAGTTTTGTTTTAAACTGCATGCATATATTTACCAGAGGATAACCTAGATATTAAACAAGGTTGTTCTTTACTGTATCTACTAGCCTACAAGCCAGAAATTACTTTATTATTGCTGCACAGTTAAAAAGAATTATAGTGATTATTGGCAGTTAACATACCTCGTTTTTTTGCCTCTGCCACCATCTCATCATATTCTTGTCGGTGACGTAAAGCCTCCTCCACTGATTTGGCAGGAAGATTTCTGAAAACAAGTTGTTCCTGAATTCAATACACAAAAATGACACTCCAAACCATTTCAAAACAGGTTTGAATTTGGCTTCTCTCTAAGGTGAGCTTTGGGGTTGTCACACTACCAGTGTTTCAGTAACAGCAGTAGAGACTACCGGATGTTTACTGCTTCTGCTTATTAGTTCTTCTATAGCTTCCCCCTAAAGCAGGGTTATTAGATTTGTTGAACATCCAGAATGATGCTCAAATGAAGTTTGCATGAAGTGACAAAAGGGAAATACTGATATTCCATATAGTTATTTATTCCAATGCATTTCTGCACATGTGTATTTTAATCATTAAATATACTTGCATATTGATACTCTATTTGTTCATCTGAAATCTATGATGAACTATTTTCAATAAAATGTAAAGGTTTTTATTCATTATAGTTAGCATTTTAAAACTCCCACAAAAGACAACAGGTTTACCAATGGAAGAAAGGATAGATCCCCATTTATGTCAGAGGTAAAGCTAAGGAAGCTTGCTGCAGTGCTACAAGTTCACCAGCTTAAGATGTGGTTTTGGCTGCACAGTGATCTCCTAATTGCCAAACACACTTCCTTTTGACCAAGCAGACTCATTCCAAAACAAGTCACGACACAATGTTTGGTCTCAGTCTCTTACCCAATCTCTAGTCTACTTTGGTTCAAAAAAAAAAGGAAGACAGTTTTGTCTTTTTAATACAGGAAGTGGGGGGGGGGGGGGAAGAAAAGGAAAAAAAAAGTTTTCCATCTCCTCTTATGCAAGCAGAAAAGATGACTTTACTACATTTCCAGTGAAAGCAAGAGCAGAATATATGTTCAAGGATGACACTGTGGCAACCCATTACACACTTGGGATGGCACTCCAATTTGAAACAAGTGGAAGTGTCATTTGTAAAAACATACTTATGGTAGTTTGTGAATTGTGATATTCTGAAAGTACAGAAAGGCATCAGCAAACCAGTTACTGCATATCTTACTCTCTACCATACAGTAAAAGAAATAATGCACTTACAAAAAAAATAATACCAATCCATACATTCATTCAGAATATTTCTTAGCACTGAATGAGCTTATATACCACTAGAGAAAATATTGAAGGGATCCTAACTGGAATTGATTAGAGCAAACATTTAACAGTGTCATCACAAGCTTTCTCAAGGTGCAATTTGAAAGCTTTGCTCCATTTGCTTTCCTCCAGCATGTGTTCCTAGTCAGCAGGTCCTCCTCTTTCCTTCAAATTGCTGAAGAGTGTATAGCTGAAAATACTGACCAATTTATTACACTTTTTTAATTACTATTCTTATTTGTACTTAATGTAGTTTTTGTTGCATCTTCATCTGCTGTTTCCTTGCCTTCAGCTGTAGTTTTAAGGAGCCATGAAAACATAACTGGAAGAGGGGCAAGGAACAGTTTCAGTGAACACTATCATCTTGGTACCAACAAAGCATTTAACTGTAGTTGCCAGATACAAAATGAGCATTCAGCATTTGTGACAGGAAGGTATTTCTTGTGTTTCAAAGGCAATTCCTCCCACTCCTGCTGTTACCTACCTAATACTTTTTCTTTTTTAAAAAACTCTTCTGGTAAGCCAAGTCCAGGTTTGCTGAAGTGACAACTGCCACTGTTAAGTCTTCCCAACTGGTCTAGGAAATTAAGTTTCCAGAATGGAGGAAGGAGAAGGGAGTGCGCACTGAGATGGCAGTGAAGAAATCCATAAAAGTCTTCAGGAATTTTCCTGATTAAGGATGCCCACAACACTGTCACAGGCAGCTGTGATATACAGTAGATAACAGACCGGTGGCCCCATTACAGCGAGAAATTCCTCATATAGACTATAATATACTTAAAGGTTCTTCTGGAGGTATTTGTTAGGCTATCATCTGGGATGGAATAATCCAATGATACTTTCCTGTAAGACTTGTGAAGTTAGCTCATCAGAAGCAGATCTAATAAATTCAGTCATCATCAGTTCCACAGCAGAACCATACTTACGCTGGTCGATCCTCCAGAATCAAAGCAGTAGTTGAAAGGGGTTCAAATTCAATATTTTTACGTCTTGCTGATGGGGGCGGAGGTTTATACATTCTTCCTGTCCGTGCTTCATATTCCTAAACAACATCATTGATAAAAATTAAATTTCAACTTTCAGCCTCACTTCTAAGTAGCGAGCATAATATTACTTGTTTAACACTATTTAATAATGTTAAAATATATATTACATAATTTAAGACAGCAAGGAGCTAACATTACAAGCTGAAATTGTTTATAACAAGACAGTGTGGCTTTCCAGGACTGTTAAGTAAAGATGAATGAGAAAGCACTTTCTTGTATCAACTTAATCTTTGATCTATTCTAGTTCAATATTACTAGTGAGTGTCCAAGGATCGGTTCATTAGGAAATCTGCATAATCTTCCCAAACTAATTAGTGCACAAGTATATTTAAGTAATATGTCAAGTTGACAAAAAAAAAAACCAACCCCAAAACAAAACCACCCCAACCACCACCAGAAACCACCAACCAGGAATGTGTGTCTCTTCCCATTTCCTCCCCTTTGATTCTAGCCACCCTTAAGATCCGGTACTCCTCATGTTTCTGAAGCCTTTAGCAAGACCACCAAACCCATGTTATCCAGAACTACCTACACTATACTCAGTGGCAATATAACAGTATTTATCATTGCAAGTCTGTTTCACATCATTTCCTTCTCAGAGTTTAAAACTTAACTACTAAAACTTGATACTTAGAAAGAAATACAGAAAAGCAGCCTTTAATACACAGAAGATTGAGGAAGAAAGAATCCCACTCCTTTTTCTACAAGAGCAACTCCACAAAACAGAAATAAGAGACAGTCTTTAGGAAAAAGGTTAGACATAGCCAGATGAAAACCTCAAACCTCACATTCCCTCTTTTTTAGCCTCTGTAAATAAAAATATACTGCCAAGTTACTGGGAAAACCATTCTTACGATCCAGCAAATCTTAAAAGGTTATCTGTGAGAAGACTTTCAACTTAATCCCAAACCAAGTTAGCTTGTGGGTTCACACTCTCCTTAGGCATGAAGGCTAAATACTAGTTTCTCTGCAAGTCTTCCACATGCTGAAATTCAAACATAGAATACTATGAACTGAAAAAATCACATTAAGAGAACAAATTCAATGTACTTTAGTAATGTACTTTCACAGATCACACAGCTCTAGTCTTAAGCACAGCCAAGTAAGCACTAACTTGTACAAGCTTTTTTTTAATCTAAACACAGTTTATTCTTGCACATCTGTTGCTTTAATAATTGTGTAAGTAAATTCAGTCTCAGATTAACCAAAATATCTTACATTTAAGCCACCAAAATTAAAAACTTGATCAGTTACTGCTTAGGTCATGTATCTTCCCAATCAAACATAAGTTGTCTGTAGAAATGGCTTCCAAATGAACCTCACACCTAATACACAGCTCCCTGTACACATTAGTTCTCCCAAGGAGAAACAGAGGGCTTTATACATTCAGTGTTCATTGACAGCATTATAGAAACAGACCTGACAACTTTAAAGCTACTACATAGCTTAAAAGTTCAGTACACAGCTGAAGTCCATAAGGTTAAATGGGAAAAGACCTCTTACAAATGCAACAATGCGGCCTCAGATTTCTGGAGAAGGCACAGTGTTTGCCCAACACGAAGGTGGCTTAAAGCTTTCTGCTCAACAGCGTCATTACCCTACCCATCTTATTTAAGTCTAACAAAAGTTCTGTTCTTCCACATGGGGCATAATACATTAAATGATCTGAAAAGTATAACCTCATGTTAATCTCATCTCAAGAGGAAGTTACCACAGAATCACTGAGGTTGGAAGGGACCTCTGGAGATCATCTAGTCCAGCCTCCCTGGGCAAACCAAGATCAAATACAGCAGGTTGCACAGTGCCTTGTTCAGCCAGATTTTTAATACCATCAAGGACAGAGACTCCACTCTTGCTAGTCAGAGGCTACAGCACCCAGTATTCCCAAGAGGTTTCCCATCCAAGTACTAACCAGGCCCAACCTGTTAGCTTCAGAGATCAGAGGTTGGGTGTGTTCACAGTGGTAAGGCCATATGCATTATATGCCACTATACCTTTCAGATCCTGAGGATTTACCTGGACTTCCTGCCCTTTTCTTTTTCTAGCCTGTGGGAGTTGGAACAATAGTTTAACTGATGAGAAAAGGTGATTGCACCTCCACAAAACAAGCCAAAGAATGGTTTTGAAACATTCTCAGTATCTTTTGAAGTGGTTTCAGCTCCCTGCCCCCCTGCCCAAAGTCTTCAGCTATCCTTCCAACTATCCACCCTTTCACCGCTGTACCATACTCTGCCCCATGGCAGCACACCAAATAACTCCATGTTAGCACCCTGGAAAGACAGGCACAGATCTGTAGCAATCAGCCTACTCTTTCAACTAGAGAAGAAGCTCTGTTGCTTTTCTGTCTTCAAAAAAAGAGCCCAAACGTGCACCTTGTTAAAAAAAGGAGAAAAAAAAAAGAGCAGGCAACTGTTTGCTATCACTTATACATACATTCACACTAAAAACCTAATTCTTTGTAAACACAATGACTTAAAAGTTACTGGCCAACTGTTCTTAAATACAACTTAGTTCTAAATATTTCTAAGTCTCTGGCCAAGAACAGTAGTTATACAAATTTCCTAGAACATATTTCTCTTGAAGGGCAATTCCCAAGACAACTTTTGATTGGAAATAATATGCATCCAACATCATTCGGCACAATCAAACAAGCATCTTGAACAACTGAACATATAGGATTGGTAGAGTTCTGTTGCAATTCACACAAGCACCAGAAATATCAGAAAACCAATATTCACTGTATAAATGAATATATGTATTCTTAAGCCTAAAATTACTTCATTCCACATAAAACCAGAGACATTATAGGCACTCCTGCCATACTTTATACCTCAGGATACCCCAGCACATTCTTAATCAGGAATGTATCCTGTGATAGCACCTGGAGGTCAGCATCCAGGCTGCAGTACAGTAGCAACGCCACCCCTCACACTCTTGGTAGAAGTTCTGATTTACTTTCAACATTTTCCAGTACTTTGTAAGAGAAGCCACAAAATCAAGTTCATTTAGTGGTCAGAGATGAGGAAGCTCAAACAGTAACAACCTTTTCAACATTCCTACATACCTATTTTGTATGCAAGTTACATAAAAATAAAAAAACCACTGCAAGATGGGACATTAGAAATGAAGCCACTCTCACCTTTTTATTACAAGCAACATATCTGAATGGTGCTAGTGCTTCTGGCTATCATACATGCTAAGAACTGATATACTATTTCCAAAGCAACAGAGAAAGAAAAAAAAATCTTCAACAGGGATTCCCACAAAAGACAGAACTCATCACCCAGCTGTGTTTCTGGAAGCAAGTACACTTTATGAACAGTTTGTTTTTGCAAGAAAAGAACACATGGAAGGAAAACTGTAAGCGTGACTAGAAAGAGTCAAAGCAGAGACCAAAACAGCTTCAGGCTCAAACTGTCATGAATGCACATTCCCCAAGATGAAATATGTTCCAAAGTATCAGAACTTCCCAATGGAAGATACTTCTTCCTCAAGAAGCCTGTGCTCTAGGAAACTTACTTGAAGATTAGATCCCAGAAGCACCAGACATGCATGGAACTCACTAGCTTGTGCAACTAAAATATCCACTTTCTTCTGGAATATTTTGTATGACTAGATGTAAAAAAAATCCAATAGCCTTATCCATGCATTTGATGCAGAATCTGAAATTCTTGGCATGGCATAAGCAGCTTGAGGTGACATAGAATTTCACTTCAAAAGATGTGAGCTAATACTCCTCCATAACAAGGTAAAAATACAATTTAAAGTCAAATTTCTTGTCAAATACTTAACACGCAGAGCATATGCCAGAGGATAGAACAGCTGACAGCTAAGATTGAAGACTATGTAAGACGTGTTTATGTAAAAAAAAAATAAATTTTGGATGTGTCACATGCATGGTTTCACTAGCTTAGGGAATGTTGTTAAAAAAATTCTTTATTGCAACATATCTGGTATTTATTGAAAGTTACAGAACATTTCACAATCCCAAAATAAAGGAAAACAAATCTCAGCTTTAATAGAAAGTAAGAAAAGTTATCTCCTTAAGGCTGGAACTGCATCCTCTCATCTACTGCCAATAATTAACCTGTTAACAGGCTGAAGGCATGTTTTTCCTGAAAAACACTGTGACAATATATTTAGAAGAGCACTTCCGTATGTGGAGGGACTTGTATTTCTGGTATTTTTTTTTCTACAGAAATACAGATAAGCTTATTAACCTTTGGATAGATAACAGGTAAATGGGGCTGGGAAAAAGGTCTTTTGCTTATAAAGTGCCTTTGTGCTCAAGAAGGTAAAGATATCCCACATTGTATCTTCTTTTAAAAAAACCAATCAAAAAAACCCACAAACCAAAAAAAATCCCCTGGTCTTTTCAACATAAGAAAAATAATAAACCTGCAGAGGTCTTTATTACCTGTACCTTTTTGATATCTATATGGAAAAACATACAAAACTGAAGTTTCTTTCATCCTTCTTTAGAAGGACCATATAGAACAGCTAGACTATTCAGAGCTATTTTAGATTATCTCTAAACACTACCGGCCTGCACTGTGTAACATAGGCATAATTGCCCATAACTGCTTCTTCCAGCATCTAAGCAAACTAGCTTACAGAAAGGAAAACCAGCTGCATTCCAAAAGCATTAGTTGACCTTGAGTAGGATATGCTTGTGGGGATAAAGCATTTCACTAAGTCTGCATGTAATGATTCAATTTTAGAAGACAAACTTGCATCTATAGTGCCAAAACTATAGAGCTTTAAAGGAATAAACATTGACCATAAAATTCAACATGCATCTTGGTGGGATAAATTCTGATCTATCTAGGATCCAACAACAAAAGCTGAACTCCTGGAAATGAGTGATAAAAGCCTTGGATTACAAGGATTGTGAAAGTCCTCACAGTCCTGAAAGTACCAATTGTATAGATTAAGTACCACAGATCCAATTATGTTTTAGGGATGCTGGAGGAGAAAGTGACCTGATAGGCAACAC